CACGCCGATATAGATACCGAGATCTATACTATATAACCCACAGGCTTCGAGGAAAGAGAAAGCTCTAATAATAATAATACTACTAATAATAATGAATTAGTTTATAAACTAATTAAAGCTTTATACGGTTTAAAACAAAGCCCCCGGCTTTAGTATAATTTCCTAGTAAAAATACTCCGCGATATCGGCTACCTAGTCTCTAATTTCGATAACAGTATATTTAACTTTTATTAGAATAAAACAGACCGTGCTATACTACTATGCCACGTAGATAATATAGTAATACTACGCCCTTCTACTATAACGATACAGTATTTATTTACTGAAATGTCGAAGAAGATTTCACTTAAAGAACTAGGTGAACTTCATACCTTTTTAGGCTACGAAATTACTATAAATAAATCAAATAAGACCCTTTCTATAAATCAGTTACCTTCTACGAATAAAATCCTCGATAAGTATAATAAACGAAGCCTCAAACGCGTTAATACCGCCTATATAAATAAAAAGGTCCTTATACCAAATCAAGAACAGGCGTCAAAAGCCGATATTAAAGTATACCAATAAGAAATCGGTGCTTTATTATATTTAGCACTACACTCAAGACCAGATATAACCTACGCTGTTAATAAGTGCGCTCGATATATAAGTAATCCGTCTTCAGAGCACTCTATAGCGTTAAATCGAGTCTAGGTTTATATAAACACTTTTCCTAATATCGGGCTTTTATATAACTATTCTAATAAGAAAGACCTTAATCTATACAGTTATTCTGATACTAGTTTTTCAGATATAATCGAAGACAGGACTTCTACGGCAGGCTATATCTACTGTATAGATGTAAATAATTTAATAAGCTGGACTTCAACTAAACAAAAAGTCGTTGCTTTATCAATAACAGAATCAGAATATATAGCTTTAACCGAAGCTTCTAAAGAAGGAATCTACATACATAGTATTTATACAGACCTAGTAGATAACCTCAGGTTATTTACTGATATAAACCTCGGTTAATATAATAATAATAATAATAATTATATACCGATTCCTACTATAATAATAGACAGCGAAAGCGCAAAGAAGCTTTGTGAAAATCCTGAATTTCATAAACGTGTAAAGTATATAGATCGTCAGTATCACTATTGCCGACAACAGCTTCAAAATAATAAAATAAAGATCGTTTATATAAATACCAAATTCAATATAGCCGATATAATAACTAAAGGTCTAACTAAAGACCTATATAATACGCTATGCGGTTATATGAATTTAGACTATAAAGACGATACGTTGCCTGACTACGATATGCCACCTTATACCCGAATTCAAGACTTAAAATACTAAGGTCTATAACTAGGTTTTTTACCTTCGGACTTTCCTAGATATAAATACTTAGTTTTTTTACCCACGGGTTTTCCTAAGATACTATAACTAGGTTTTTACCTACGGGTTTTTCTAGTATTATAAAAAGGGTTCTCGAATTTTCCCTTTATAAGAACTCAAGGGTTTTTGAATTTTTCTCTTAGAGGTTTAATTTTATTTTTCCTCTTATAATTAGTCCTAGTTAGTTAACTAGGGTTTCTACGCTATAATTCGATAATATATATACTCGTTTTAAGCTACTCCTTCTTATATAAGAACCAACTTACAGGGGGGTATTGATATTAATATTATTATTATTATTATTACTAATAATATCCTTAATATTCCTCGAGTATATCCTTCGTACTCGAATAAAGGATATCTTCCCCGCAAGCCTAGACCATTCTCTTTCGAGTCAGTTCATCTAATACGAGTCAGACAAAGGATATAATGGATTACGATATTATTACGATATCGATTCTTTTACGAAGAATAAAGGATATCCAAAGGATATTAACCCGTTCCCTCGGTTCGGTTCCTTCCTTTCTTTATTCTTAATCTTTAATCCTTTATCTTAATCATTTTTTCGATCCGAAGAAAATAATACGCGCGCAGAGATCCTACCTGATAATCTCATTATTACCTTTCTTATTATTCCACTGCTTTTCGTGACTTTCGTCCCTTCCGCTTATCCGATATCGTCAGATATTTTCAAAAATTCTAATCCTCTATCTGCCCTTAAGGGGTTTTCTACTGGAGGTCCTTCCGAGGGATAAGGTTATATAGATATACTGTAGTAGCTATTAGTTCTGGCTATATATCCTATTAGATGCCTAAGGCCGTTACGAGGGTCCTCGCGATAGTAAAAATAACGCCGCCGTGGCGTTCTGCCTTCGGATTCTGCGCGGCTATATATAGCGATAACCTCTTAAGTAAAAATCCTCTTTTATCGGCCTATTTATCGAAGCCTTTCTAAAGGGATCTTTCTCTATCCAGGCGGAGTACTGTAATTATATAGTGGTACTGCCTTTAAAGAAAGAACTTAAAATTCACTAGCGTGGGTAAGTCTGATTTATAGTCGCGTAGGAACCTTATAATAGCTTAATGAGTATAGGGATCGTATAAAAGCATCACGACCTTTATACCGTTATAGGCCTTATTAAGGCTAAAGAGATTAACCTCTACCCTTTACCACGGCCTTATTATTTAGTGGTTAGGCAACCTTCTGGAAATAACCTTCTATGCCTTACTAAGGGTATAGGCCTTATAATCCACTATAAAAGGACCTTTTCCTTTAATAACGCCTCCGACGAGGGTATCTCTAATTTTATCGAGGGTAGTAGCGCCGGCGTACCCTAGCCTCTTATGCTATAAACGAGTGTTAGCCACGCTTATAGTAGGCGTTATGGAGCTATTAAAGAAGCTGTTTAGTAGGTGCTGTTAGCGATCCGTTGGAACGAGGGCGTATTGATTGTTGACGTTGTTGAGTGGTAGGACTAATAAGCCCTTTTTGGCAGATCTCTTAACCTTTAAGACCTCGAGGTCGGTATTACAAACGATACCCTATTCCTTTAATCTTCTAGTTACGATTAAGGTTATTAGATAATCTTATATAAAAGTAACGCGATTTAGCACTAAAACGAAGGGATTACTATATTCGTCGTTTATCTTTAATTATATCCTGCTATAACCCTTAACTGGCTTGGTCTCTCCACTACCTATTTGAAAACGATGCTCTTCTATAGCAGGTTTAAAGTCCTGTAGTAGGTGTTATTAGTTAGTGATATACCTTAAGGTGCCGGAGTCGATTAGTAGTTAATTAAAGAGGTTACTGCTAACCGTTATGTTGTTTATCTATAGAAGGGACTATATCCTATAGGACTTCTTATCGGAATCCTTATCCTAGTTATCGATAAAATTGGATACCTTCGTTAACGATTCTTTTGGCTATGACTTCTGAGAGTCCTTTTTAGTACCCGTTTTTAGGCTTTTAGCGTTCTTTTCGATATTCTCCCGGAATCTCTTTTACCGTTCGTTATCCTAGGTCTTAATAATCCGGTCGTAGCGTTATAAGATCTCTCTTAAAGGTATCTATCCCTTTTTTCTGCATGCCTTATTAACGTTTAGGCACTTTTATAGAGGTTTATAGTTATATTTACTTCTTTTTGTATTACGGTAGTCGTATAATTACTCCTTCTTCTATTTATTAGACTATTAGTTACCCTATTATCCCGATTATGCCCGCTAATCCTTACCTTCTTTATCCTTACCTAGGAAGGTTACCGTATAAAAGGATAATATAGTAGGCTTCTTATCGAGTCGATACGGGTAGCGGTAACGAAGCCACGTCGTATACTACTCTATAATAGACTATATCGAAGGTAGGTCCTTTTCCTTAAGCATTATAAGGTATATAAATTTACTCTTAGACTATTTAGGTATAACGCTCCTAATAGCGTTAAAGAAGCCGTTAATCTAATTATCCTTAGTATTATAGGCGTTCACCTTATATATCTCGGTATCCCGGTATAGCTTAATAAAATCCTTTAGCTAGCGTTTATAGGGTATTCGCCTAATATTTTATATATATTCCTCCTAATATCGCTTAATTAGTGATTTCTAGGCCGTGTTCGTTAGCTTAAGGTGCGTCTTAAGGGTATATAGGATATCCTTAACTTCCCTTTTACCGGCGTACTAATCCTTTAAAGCAGGGCTAACCGTCTTCGCGATATAGTTGTGGAGTACTTAAATCCTCCTCTTTTTAGCCTTATACCGATCCTCTTCTACCTACTAGATCTTAAATAGTATATCCGAATTAGTGGCGTTACGTTCTTTAGCTATAGTAGGAGGTTACGGTGGATTAGTTTGAATACGGCGTTTAGGTTATTTAGCCTTTTTAAGGTCGGGATTAACGAGGTCGGCGATATCGTAGGAGTGCGCGATAGTTATCACGGCTTTAATCTAAGGCCTCTAGTCTTTTAGGAAGGTAAGCGTTATAAGGCATATAACAGGCACTACTACTATAGAAGCTATCGTTATACTAATAAAAAGCAGTAGAATAGGTAAACGAAAAGGTTAATTAACTATACTAAACACTTTAAATAGTCGTATAATAGAAACGATAAAACGATTAAATAAAACTAAAGTAGGCGGATGTTACTAATAATACTAAGCTACCCGCTGTAGACTTAAGGCTGATTGCCTAGAAGCTATAGGATTAATCGGAATAGCTTCGTTTATTAGAACGCCGGGCTTATAACTATCAGAATATAAATAAGGTACGCGGAATTATGTGTGTATTCATCTAAGTGAAGTTTGTGATACTTTATGGGGATGTCTAACTATACGGAAAAAGCAGGGGAAATAAGGGTGGATATATAGGAGCGAGGTAGTCCACACGTCTGACACAATGTGGTTTGTCACACCTCGATAAGGTGGCTGTGGGCATCTGACAGTTGTAATTACCTAAGGTAAGGTACGTCAATGCTGCTCTAGGTAATTATCACGAAATCAAGAGGGAAACGAGACAGCTATAATCACAGACTCTGGCCTCCAACTGCTCTTCATTCCAGTTACCCCGCGCTTCCTGAATCCTTCGCCCATATTGTATCACACGCCCTGCCATGTCGGCTAACGCGATGTCGTCTGGCCGCCAGCGGTCCAATTCGCGCACCCGCACTTCACGCCCCACGACACCACTTCGGCCCTCATCCCGCTCGTCTTTCCGCGACTCTGCCCGCGCCAGCACAAGCGGAGGTACCGATTCATTTCCCTTGAACGTCTTCGAGCCAGCTTTTGCAGAGTTATCGGACGCTGTGGCCGACCTGGAAGCCAATATGATGCACTTTCAGCTCATGCACGAAAGCCTCTCACGGTTTAGCGAGTCGTTCGCGAGTTTTCTGTACGGGTTGAATATGAATGCATTCTGTGTGGATTTCCCAGAGGTATGCTACACGAACAGGCTCCCACGCTAATCCACTGGTGTGTCTGGTACCGCTATTCACTGACAGACCTAGGGTCCTATTGCAGAGTCATACAGACGCCCTCAACTAACAGAAGGTGAGCAAAGTGCCTGTCTAGCAGTTCTCCGCTACGGTAATGGTCATCTGAGTTTAGACTAATGAGCTTTCTGGTAGACGCAACCCGAGGCAACGACAGAGCTGTGGGACCCGAGGTCGACAGCGAAACAACATTCATGTAAGATGCTATTGCTACCAATCCATACTCGTTCGATTATAACGAGCTAATTGGCGAGCAGGACTACCGACACATCCTTTGTTGAGAATCCAGCCCCTACAGCTATGCCAGCTGCTAAACACAAGGGCCCAGACTCAAGACCTTCACGGGTCCCAGCACCTTCTACACGTGGCCCTTCCTCCACTCGTGGTGTTAGAGGCGGCCGCCAAGTTGCACCCGAGACGCAAAGAGGCCGCTCTAGTGGGCTTGCGAGGGCTAGGGGCCGAGGCCTGAGGTGAAGACAGAGGCAACTCGAGCTTGGACTGCAGTAGGCGTTTTCGGCAGGACATCGGCGTGACTTGCGCATAGTGTCGTCTTGGGACCATCCTTTGGGGTCGCGATGGAAAAACTGCGACCACAGGTGAAAGTGTACGATGATGAACCAATCCCGACGAAAGCGAATGTCTTAATGCTGGCTTGAATTTGGACGTACGGCCTGTCGCTGTGTCACAGATCGCGGATCTCGATAAGACCAGGGAGTGTCAAGTCGCCATTTCCATTTCCTGGTCGAAGGGCCGCTCGGCCGCTACTCGCGCCATGGCGGGGCCTTTGTTGTCGGTCCGGAGGCCGACAGCAGCTTCGGCCTCTTTCTGCGTATAGGGATCGTCGCGCAGTTCCTTGACTCTGGTCGCGAAAATGTCAACCAGTGCTCCATATAGGAAAAGTCTGGCTCGGGGTAGACGAGTGCAGAAGAGCAACATCAAACGGTGCCAAGGTTAGGGAATGGTATCAGCGCAGAAGCAAGCTGCATGGGATTGAGCAGAGGCAGTAGAGGATGTCTGTCGGTAACGTACTTGCGCTTGTGAGGTTTCCCTCGCGTATGCTGTACAAGGTTCGTCTCAGATTCAAACCACTTAGCGCATTCGATGCAGTAATGCTGGCCGAGTGCGGGTAGGTCTTCTGTGGCTTTGGTATCCTTATATTGTTGGAGGTGCTTGGGGGAGAGAAGGTCGGCTTTGATTTGATCGAGGTCCCTGCTTGTCATGCGACTAGTTAGTCCTGAGGAGATACAAAATATCTGCATGCAGCGGGGCGGCGAGATTCGACTTGCCTCGTCTTTCTCCTCGTCTTCGTGATCGTCCGCCTAGCTTCTACGCCCATTTTGACGACTGTTGAAAGACCCAGATAAGAGACACGGGAGGCGGTGTGAGTTCACGTATAATGAGGATTTGACTATACTTCGTTGTCCATCAATGTCTGGTCCAAGAAATTTCTCCCCGCAGATCCGAATCGGACGAAGTACATTGCAGCTGTTCCTTTAGAGGAATAAAATGGATAAGATGAACTTGGAACTTGACTATTTCACGTGAGTACCCACCTAAAGCCTCACCTACAGGCATATTGGGTACTCCACCTGGATGAGTAACGCATTCCCTTTCATTGGGTCGGCGTCGGCTCGGGCGTGTCGGGGACCTTGGCTATCTCCTATCATAACGCCACTCAAACCGAGGTCGCACCGGAGCTGCGAGCTCTCGTGAGGAAAAGCCCAGTGTAGTTCGGAGAGACGGGACTAGTTCCATTGAGGCCGGGACTTGGAAAACGAGACCCTAGTTCCCAAAAGGAGCCGAGAGGAACCGAGCTAGTCGTGAGTTTTGTAGGGCATTACCTCGAGGCTAGTTACTTCGTGATTCAATACACTAAAAGGTAGGTAGACCTCAAGCCAATCCCATTGTATTTCACATGCATCGTTTGGGGCCTTAGTGGAGCACAAAATTCTCCCAAGTCAGGAACTCAGGAGATTCAGAAGATTTCACAGAATGCAACCGTTATGGAGGACGAATCATTGTCTTTCTATTCTCATCTGTTCTTTCGGAATCTTGTGCTTTAACGTGTCATCTGTTGATTTAGGTATTCGTAAAATGTACATATGATCTCACAAGGCCATAACACTGTTAAAAGTACGGGCGTTGTGCCTTTCTTGAACAATTCGGTGACGTGACCTGACAGGATGTGGGACCTATCCTGGACGAATAGGAAAGCGCTGGCACTGACCATGAGTTTTCACTCGTATCACTTCTTCGTACGAAGTACTCCAAGGTTGATGTGGTCGTGTGTTTACTCCGTACAGGTAGATACCAAAATTACCGGGTGGCTAAGGTACCTAAGAGAATCAAGGAAGGCCAAAGCCGGAAAAGGAACATTGCCATATATCATACTCGTACAGTTAGGTAAGGTAATTGCCGACTTCCCATGCCTCCTGCGTTCCGGACTATCTTGTACAGAGTACGTCCAAGAGATACATAATACGCAGTATGAAGCAGTTTTGGTGAATTGCAACTGTTACCCTCCCCAATGTGGGGAAGTTCAGAGTGAAAATAATAGGTCGCTTTTGATTTGTCCGCTGGTCCGCCATGGGTCTCGTCATAGCCGAACAGCCTCCACCATTATGGCCCGCCCACGGTCACGCCCACTATGCGTGGTGCGGTACGTAGCTTGCCTCCTGGTTGATCGCAGCCGATGGCTACTTCTTCCGCTGTTCCAGAAAACCTCGCTATTTTTTTTTTCCTCCCTTCCTCCCCTCCCCTCCTTCATGAACATACGATCTCTTCGGCCACGGGCGCAATTTGATTACCATCGCCGCTGAACGCCGCCCACATCTCTGTTTCCTGGCCTCAATTGAATTCAAACATCATCTCGACCTCACTGTAGCCATGCTGGCCTCCCGACAGCTCTTGGGCGCCGCGGCCCGGAGCCGCTCTGTCGCGGCCGGCACCATGGCAGTGCGCCGGATGGCCACAGTCGCTGATTCTGCTCTTGACCGCAAGGTATGTCAATGTCCGGTTGCTTTTTTTTTGGCACCATACCCAGTTCCCATGAGCCATCGTGGCGATAGGGGCACTCCCCTCGCCTCCTTGTGCTTTTGCGATCTCTAACTCGCCCCCTCAGGTCAAACAAAACAACTGGGAAGAGGGCAACTTCATCAACTACAAGAAGATGTCTCAGAACCTTGCTGTTGTACGCAGCCGTCTTAACAGGCCCCTAACCTATGCGGAGAAAATTCTCTACTCCCACCTCGACAATCCTCACGAGCAGGAAATTGAGCGGGGTGTTTCTTACCTCAAGCTGCGCCCGGATCGCGTAGCTTGCCAGGATGCTACCGCGCAAATGGCCATTCTTCAGTTCATGTCCGCTGGCATGCCTTCCGTCGCCAATCCAACCACCGTTCACTGCGATCACTTGATCGAGGCCCAGGTTGGTGGTGCCAAGGATCTTGAGCGTGCCATCAACATCAACAAAGAAGTCTACGATTTCCTGTCCACCGCCTGCTCCAAGTACAACATTGGTTTCTGGAAGCCCGGCTCTGGCATCATTCACCAGATCTTGCTTGAGAACTATGCATTCCCCGGTGGTCTCCTCATTGGCACTGACTCCCACACTCCCAATGGTGGTGGCCTCGGCATGTGCGCCATCGGTGTTGGCGGTGCCGACGCCGTCGATGTCATGGCCAATCTGCCTTGGGAGCTGAAGGCTCCTAAGGTCATTGGCGTCAAGCTCACTGGCGAGATGTCTGGCTGGACTTCGCCTAAGGGTATGTTGCCTAGCTTTTCGACCCTTTTGCCTTTACCTTGCATCTCCGCCACTCCTGCGTTGCATTGGCTGCCTGGGACGCCTTTATACTAGCTGGTTGACGTCCGCTGACATTTCCTTCCCTTTTCCCAGACATCATCCTGAAGGTCGCCGGTATCCTCACTGTCAAGGGTGGCACTGGCGCTATCGTCGAGTACCACGGCCCCGGTGTCAACGGCATCTCTGCCACTGGCATGGGTACCATCTGCAACATGGGTGCTGAGATTGGTGCTACCACTTCGGTCTTCCCCTTCAATGACCGGATGTACGACTATCTCGCTGCCACCAAGAGAAAGGACATCGGTGACTTCGCCCGCGTCTATGCCAAGGAACTCCGCGAGGACGAGGGTGCCGAGTATGACCAGTTCATCGAGATCAACCTGTCAGAGCTAGAGCCCCACATCAATGGCCCGTTCACTCCTGATCTGGCTACTCCTATCTCCAAGTTCAAGGAGGTGGCCAAGGAGAACGGCTGGCCTGAGGAGATCAAGGTTGGCCTGATTGGCTCTTGCACTAACTCTTCCTATGAGGACATGTCCCGCGCTGCATCGATCGCTCGCGACGCCCTCAACCACGGCATCAAGTCCAAGGCCGCTTTCACTGTCACTCCTGGCTCGGAGCAGATCCGCGCTACCATCGAGCGGGACGGTCAGCTCCAGACGTTCGAGGAGTTCGGCGGCATTGTCCTCGCTAATGCCTGCGGTCCCTGCATTGGTCAGTGGGACCGCAAGGACGTGAAGAAGGGCGAGGCCAACACCATCATTTCTTCGTACAACCGTAACTTCACGGGCCGAAACGACGGCAACCCTGCTACCCACTCCTTCGTCACCTCCCCCGATCTCGTCACCGCCATGTCCATCACCGGCTCCCTCTACTTCAACCCTCTCACCGATACCCTGAAGGACAAGGATGGCAAGGAGTTCAAGCTGGCTGCCCCGTCGGGTGATGGCCTCCCCTCCAGGGGATACGACCCCGGCCAGGATACCTACCAGCCCCCTCCCAAGGACCGCGCGTCGGTTAACGTCCAGGTGTCTCCCACATCTGACCGGCTACAAGTGCTGCAGCCCTTCCAGCCCTGGGACGGCAAGGACGCGAAGGATATGCCCATCCTGATCAAGGCAAAGGGCAAGACCACCACCGATCACATCTCCATGGCCGGCCCGTGGCTCAAGTACCGTGGTCATCTCGACAACATCTCGAACAACATGCTCATCGGCGCCATCAACGAGGCCAACGACGAGGCGAACAAGGTCCAGAACTTCACTAATGGCGAGTGGGACGCCGTGCCTGCCGTCGCGCGTGACTACAAGTCGAAGGGTATCAAGTGGGTCGTTATTGGCGACTGGAACTACGGCGAGGGTAGCTCGCGTGAGCATGCCGCCCTGGAGCCTAGGCACCTTGGTGGTCTCGCTATCATCACAAGGAGCTTTGCCCGTATTCACGAGACGAACCTGAAGAAGCAGGGCATGCTTCCCCTGACGTTCGCTGACCCCGCCGACTACGACAAGGTTAAGCCTGAGGACAAGGTAAGTTTGTGGGCGTGTTTCTCCGTGGCTGCTTGAGCTGTTCTCTAACAGAAGTCTGCTACACAGGTCGATATCCTTTGCACCCAGCTCGAGGTCGGCAAGCCTGTTACCATGGTTGTCCACCCCAAGGATGGCTCCTCATTTGAGGTCAAGCTGCTGCACACCTTCAACGAGCCCCAGCTTGAATGGTTCAAGAATGGCAGTGCACTGAACACCATGGCCAAGGCGGCAAAGTCCTCGTAGATGTTTTAGACGAAGGTGTGATTCGCGGAGACGGGCTATTACAGCTTTGGCCGCGGTTCTTCAAGCCGCTTAGCATGTCTCTGGCTCTGGTGATATTGCCAGATAAATGCGCCGAGGCAGTGGTTTGAGGTACGGTAACGCGTGAAGTGAGACCAACTCCGAAAACTCGTTTGGTCTGGTTAGAATGTTGGAATCAAGATACCGTTGGCAATAATTTTGGAAAGCGGGTGCGGGACATTTTTTTGTTGTCATCCCTAGCCTGTTTTGTATGTACAAACGAGCATTTCAAATTATCATTTCTTCTGTTCCAGAAAGGCTTTATGCAGCGTCAGTGAGGTTGCGTCTCCTTGACAGTGAATATCTAGAGACGTCCTTTGCGTTGAGACTCGGTTTGGGCGATGGCACGCGGTATTTCGTAACCTGTACTATGAGGTGTTATCCTGTCCTTGACTCCCGAGGATAACCTACAGTTTTACCAGACAGCAATGCCCAAGGCACCTTGAAGGATCGTTCGTGCCTGGGCTGCGGAGTACCTTAGTGGCTACTTCGGCCACATTTCGAGTTGACTGCCTAAGGTAAGGTAGGTAGGTATGTACCTACGAAGTACCTAAGGTATTCTAACACTGGCAGGGCGTAAAAGTACCTACGAAGCCCAAGGTACCTTACTACCTTACGAAGCTCAAGTGTGCAAGGTACCTACCTAGGTAGGCAGAATAAGGTACTCACCGCGATTAGGTAAGGATACCTTATCGAAGTACCTGCTTTACCTTAGGTACCTTACCTTAGGCATAAGGGTCCCGATCTGCCGACTGGACCTACCTGCCTTAGTGATGTACAGGTATTACGCATTTGCCGTCCCTGCATGTTGGATAAGACAGCTTTCACAGAATCCAGCTGCCAACATTGTTCTGCCGCAATCCCTGGACAATTCTTTCTTGTCTCCAAAACAAATACAGCTCATTATTTACAGAATCTGGGCTTACATTGCGGCTCCGACGAGAACCTGACCCGTTACGTCCGACACCTGCTGCCTAGACGATCGTTCAGTTGGGTTGGGCTCTCGACATTCCGAAATAATTACCTAGTGAACGACCCGATATACCCGATGTTCCGGGGCAGGATGCCTCCGTCGGCAAACGCATTCAGTACGCTGCGTGCCCGTTCATACGTCGTCCGGTTACCCTTATTTACTCGAGTCGTCGTGTTGGTGATACTATTGGCATGGCTCGTCGGGTTGCAACAAGCTTGGGACGTTCGGAAATGGGGAGCGCTGGACCCTACCGAGATATCCTTTGCGTCCGGTATTACCAAGTCTCTCTCAAGAATCGCAATGCATGCGGGCCGGTACTGACGCTACGATATCTTCTTTTTACAGCGTACCGCATTAATACGTTTCCATTCATCCACGTCAACTTTCTACACGCCTTCCTGAACATCCTCGCGTTGACGCCTTTACTGGAGCGCTTCGAGACCGAGTTCGGCACGCTCACATCCGTTGCTCTCTTCATGGGCCGTAAGTGGCGATTTGGACACGGGGTGAAGCTCGACGTCACGGAAAGCTGACATATTGGTAGCGTTAACCACGATACCGGCGGTTCTCTATATCGTCCTCGAGACATTCCTTCTCCGCGGCAACGCCTCCGTGATGGGCGCGAGGTGAGTCGCACCCGGCCATCCAATGTTCCTTTTCTTGGCCCACCCACTTGAAAACTCTAGCCCGAAACTGATTGCGTCTACTCGTTGCAGCCTCTGGGTGTTCCTCCTTCTCGGCGTGGAGGCCATCCGAACATTCAAGTCTAACCCGTATCTCACTCTTGCCACATGGCAAATCCCTACGTGGACAATGCCGCTTATCATGGTGGTAGCCGTGACCGCACTAGTCCCTGGGACCAGCTTTCTTGGTCACCTCTGCAGTGTCTGCGTTGGCTACTTATGTGGGTTTCAGACGTAACCCACCACTTACTTGCACTACTGACACTGACCTTTGCACTTGTCTTGCAGTCGGACTCGGATATCTTCGATTTCTAGCACCGCCTGAGAAAGTGCTCCGCTGGATTGAATCTAAGCTGAACCTCCTGGGCCGGCTTCCCCACTACATCAGCGTAGATCGAAAGACGTACGGACGCTTCGGCGTGCTGCCCAGCAGCAATCACGCGGCCGGAGGAAGCGGTATGACCTTGGTGATGGACGGACCGGGCCAACGACTGGGGCCATAAGAGGATGGGCAGGCAGGCTTTCCCCCTGCCTATCGTGTATACTAAGCAACATTCGAAGCACTGGCTAGCGATCTGGCCCTTCAGCGGCTTTTCTATATGCAGCATGTATCAGGAGTTTTCGGTGGTATATCCGGCTACGCTAGCTTGGCTTATGGATCCAAATGTACGGTATTCACGGCCGCTGTATTGGTATTCGAATATGGGTTAATGTGTTAACGGTCAAAAAGGACATCTAAAGCCCTCGGTTGCGGTTTATCAAGGGAACCTTTAACAGGCCCCTACTTTTTCATTGATCTATTCATACTTGTTTATATCCTTCTGGCCCGTTTGTTTTTTTTTGGACGTACTAAATAAAGCCTAAGGCCCCGTGTCGTATGGGCAGGACCACGACGTCGTCCCTAGGGGATCCAGGGGGGATCCACTCCCTGACTAAGGGCTTCGGACCTCGGGTATTAGGATATAATAGGGGCGGATACCGGAGAAGACCGGATGGGATTTAAATGATATAGTATCTATAACAGAGTCTTTACCACCTAAATTAAGGGTATAAGAGACTTATATAGATATAACTTAATATATTATATATACACGAGATCTCTGCTCTACTAAGTTAATTATCTAAGTGCTATTTAACGTGCGATAGTTATAAGCCCGGTTTATAACGCCTAAACGATAGATATTAATAAGGCTACCCCTATTCCACTATAAAGAAGTAATCACGTTTATATAAATACTCCTAAATAACTACGATTAACCTAATTAGAGTAATTAAGAGATTAATTAACCTATTTATTAATTAACTAACCAATAAACGATAAACTAATAAAGATATCTTTTAATGTATCTAACGCCGAATAGAATACGGCCGCTACTACCCTTATTAACTAGAGGGATTAGGTAGTATAGGAGCGCGCCGTACACGGTAAATCTGCCTCCTACTAAGATAACTATCTTAATCTAAAGCTAAGCGATAAGGAGGCTAACGCCTATCTCCTCCCTATACCTATACCGCCTAACGTTCGTAAATACGAAGCCCTCGCCGTGGACCCTAACGCGGAGAAGGCTATGGCTATTACCGCCACGGCTACTCTATCTTCCACTATTACGCTAAAGGGCGATAAGGCCACGGACGCTATAAACGCCGCTGCCACGGCCGTTACCACGGCTATAGGTAAGAAGAAGACGGCTACCCGCCGGAAGGCTACGGCCACGGCCGTAACGAAAAAACTAATAATAAGGACGCCTACGTCTATCGATAACCTCTTTAAAAAGGGGCGTACGCGCTACCTATAAAACCGCTATATATACCGCGAGGAAAAGGTAGACTACGACGCGTAGTAGAAGGAGTTTAACGAGGTATACTCCTATATTGAAGGGACCGTTTATACCACGCTATATAACCTGCTCGTATAACTATAGGACGATAACGTAAATAACCTATAAGCTTAGATTACCCTCCTATACGCGCACGTAGGACTAATATCTATAAACCTCTATAAGAAAGCCTTAGTCCTATACCGAGAATACACTACGCCTATAAAGGCTATACCTAAGGATATAGACGCCTAGGTAGTAAGCTAGAAAATAGCGATAATATACTATAAATATATAGGCGTTTTAGAGCTATTAAGCGCGGACTATTAGGCGGAAGATACGTTAAAAGCTATTAGACTTATCGCCTAGGAATAGAGTAATAACTACCTAATAAATAACTACGATAAGATTACGGAAAACGAGCTAATAATTAACGACTTCGTAAAGGCTTTACATGCGGTTCTTAGTAATATAAAGAGCCTATAATCCTCTACTATAAAGCCTAGAGTCGGAAGAGGCACCTTTAATACCTTTAGAAACCTCCCCGATATTAAGGATACTACTAATAATAAAGATAATAAGAAGCGTCCTCGTAGTAATACGTCCGTAAAGGCTATACCTCCCGTAACGAGGAGGCCTTATAAGATATATAAGAACCCCTATACTACCGCCGTCTATTAGTATATAAGGCTGGATATACGCCCTTATACCTAGTATAGCCGTAAGGATATTACGAAGGTTAGGGAAAAGAAGATACGTAACTATAGTTTTAAAAGCCGCGTAGATACCGTGATATAGAAGAGACGGGAAGTAGTAGTTACTACCGCTAATAAGATAGAGGAAGTCTAGGAAGATTAACTCTATAATACTACGCCTACTACTATAATAGTTTATAAAGACCTGTCTATTACCGTGATAGGACTAGGAGCCTACCTAACCTAAGGGGTAGCGCGTTATTATACGATAATACTATTAAGATTATAATAAGAATAAGGAGTATCCCTTTCCGTTAACTAAGCTAGAGTGCTATTATACTACGCGATCCTAGATTCAGGATTATTAATCTATATCTTTAATAATTAAGGCCGTTTTATAGCCGTTAGACTACCCACGGATACTTTATCTTTATCCCTTTAGGTGGGTACTTATAAGGCTTCTATCCTCGGATACAGAGATATTAAGCTATATATATAATCCTTATCGGGTATAAAGAGGCTATTACGCCTCCGCGACATTATATACTATAAGTAATATATTACTAATATTATCTCGGAACACTAGCTACGCTTATAAGATTACCGCTAGGATACCGTAAACGATACTATTATTAGCTCCGCCGATAACCGGCCTATCTATAAGCTACTGGATATCCACGGTTAGTATATAATCGAGCGCGCGGAAGCTATAACCGCTACCGCGTTTACGGTCTTAGTAAGGTGCCCGCACGATAACCCGTATAGAAGATCATGACGACCGCGGTAACCGTAGAAGACTACGGTATAACGGTAGCACGAACGCCTCGGCTATTATGGTACCGACGCTCTCGCGAAGATCGTCGACGCTATTTAGGGGGTAAAGATAAAGGTACCACGCTTAAGAGACTATAATATATATAGGTAATCGTAAGTGTCTACGTAGATCCGGCGAATACTATCCTTTTACCTATTAAAGCCCGGAGAGGCCCTAGCTATTAATTTTTATAATCTAAAAGAGGCGGAGTCGTTAGTAGGCGGCCTATATAAGTCTATTATATTCGTTATAGACGTGTATATAGGTTATATATAGGATTACTATTTATAGAAGAGAGACTAAGGCTTTATCCTGTCCGTATTAAAAGACGTTTTTACCCTGCTTAAGACTTAATTCGATATCCGGCTATATATCCTATAAGCCGATTCCGAGATATTTTA